CGGAGGGGAGAGTGGTTACCCCCCCAGCTTAGCCGCAGATTTAGTAAGCAAGCATAGGATTAGTCAATGTTTTCTTATACATGGACCAAAGGGTAAAGAATAGGTATGCTTTTATTTGGCACAATATAATTTGAACTGATTCACTTTATCCATTCACTATAATTTATTGACAAGGAGAATGATGTTTTTTTATATATTAAATATCACAATTAAACCCTATTTTATATCATTAGTTATTAGTTATTAAAATTGTCTATTTATTTCAATTGCCTATTAGTGATAGATAAGCAAATTGAACGTCGTTGTTGTGATTAAAGTCTTGATATTATTTTTCTAAAATATTAGTTCACAGTTCTAAACTTACTCCCTGTGGTATCGATATATAGGACTCCATTAGAGCCCTATATTACTTGAGCGATACGTATATTTGCGTTGATAAGTGTGACTTTACAATTATTTAATATTTATTACGTCCATATTTATCTTATATTTTTAAGCATATATAATGTAGTATGCTTAAGTGTATGATCGTCCTTGTAGAGTTTCTATTGTGTTAATTTCTAGTGTTTTTGGACCTATATGTGTTTTAAATAATTCTTCTTTCAAGGTTGACCATCTTGTTGTTGAAGATATCAGAGTTAAGTGTTATTGGTAGGAAAGTGAGCTTTTAGTGACTCTATTTATTTGTATAAACAACCTTGAGGTGCTAACTTTATTGTTTATCTTACCATATTGTATGCCATACAATTTCTTCATCTCACACTCTCATACATTATTCAGTAGAAGATCAATTACAAGTTACTAAATATTTATTGTAATTTTTTTATAAAAAATTTCAGACTATAATACAGATAATGGTAAATTAAAGGTGAATTAGTGTCAGTCATCCTTTGAATTTGTCCCCACTATGGAAAATGTAGTTCGTTAGAGTTATCTTCAAATTGATTGATGTTTTAGTGAATTTAAGGAGGATGAGAATATTTAAGGACATCTTAGTTGATTTTTTTATATTTTATCCAGTTTTATTATTGATTATGTTAAATCTTACACAGACATTATCTTCTAATTAATTAAAATGGGCATCCGTTATTCCTCTACAAGATTAATACATTTCTAAAAGTTTAAGATCATAATATTGATAAATAATTCAAATTTTAGTTTTGAGATTAAAATTATTCAAAATAATAAATTTGTAACTTAGATGCTATCCAAGAAAAAATATTATTTATTTCATCAAAAAATTTATTTTTTTTAAACTGCAGCCTTATGAAAAATAACTGAGTAAAATATCAAAATATTATTTTTTTTAAACTGCATTAGCCTTATGAAAAATAACTGAGTAAAATATCAAAATAGATCTTCTTTTGACTTACATTAGTGTAATAAATTTAGAGAATATGACTTCTCACCCAATCAAATTCTACAGCTCCTAATACCCCATATTTTAAGCATTGTGATCTCAACAATACTAGAAAAGTACTTAAACTTGGCAATTATGACAAGCCTTTTTAATAAGAATTATTGTACATTATTGTAGGTCCATTTACATAAAAAGGGCACATAACACTATACATTCAGTTAGACATTCATGTATTTGCTTTAAATTCAACAATAATTTGGCCTAACATTATGCAACATATAATTGTTACACTTATTTCTATATAATATTCTAATGTACAATGTGTCTTCTTGTTTTCCAAACTTGATTTTCTATGAGAAATTAAGTTTCTATTTCCTAAAATCACAATCCACTAAGACAAAAAATGATGAATTGAAGTAACTCTAAACAATGTCTCAAGCCCATCAACTCTCTGTTCTTTCATAAAAACCAATGTTTAGTTGCAAATTTAAGAATTTCAATATTTTGTGAAAATGTATATCATTTTCACTAAGGGCACAAAAAAAATATGATTTCTTTAGAGGTTTTGTATGCTTAAATGATGCCAATTTTCTATTTGCACTATTATGTGTTATAAACTCCACAATGCTAACACTAATTATCGTAAATTTGCCATTATTTATAATTAAAAATAGATTCTACA